TCGGTCGTGCCGCCCGCGGCGAACGGGATTACCATCCGGATCTGCTTGTCGGGATAGGCGCCCTGGGCGCGCACGATGGCGGGCGCGACGGACGGGGCGATGGCCAGAGCGGCGGCGCCGCGCAGGAAAGTGGATCGCTTCATTATAGGTAATATCCCGACGGAGTGCCCTTGACGGTGGTGCGCTCGAGGTGGCGGATCTCGCCTTCCTGGTAGTCGCCCAGCGCGATGTGCATGGTGCAGCGATTGTCCCACAGGATGATGTCGTCCTGCTGCCACTGGTGGCGATAGACGAACTGCGGCCGCGTGGCGTGGCGCACCAGATAGTCGATCAGCGGCCGGCTCTCCTCCGGCGTCATGTCGACGAAGCACGAGACCTTCTCGCCGATGTAGAGCGCCTTGCGGCCGGTCTCGGGATGCACCCGCACCACCGGCTGGGCGATCGGCGGATTGATCTTCTTCTGCTCCTTCTCGCGGTCGGAGTTGGGATCGTCGACCTTGCGGCCGCCAGTGTGGATACCGTGCAGCCCTTCGACGATCTTCTTCATGCCCTCCGACAGCGTGTCGTAGGCGAGGTACATGTTCGTGAACATGGTGTCGCCGCCGACCGGCGGAATGGTGATGCCGCGCAGCAGCGAGCCCAGCGACGGCACAAGCGTGAACGACATGTCCGAATGCCACTTGCTGTCCGGTGTATTTGGAGGCCGACGGCTTGCCGTCCTTCTCGGGGATGTTCGTCACCAGCAGCAGCTCGGGATAGTCGGGATGGCGGTCGCGGGGCAGCGAATCGTGGTTGTCGAGTTCGCCGAAGCGGCGGCTGAAGGCGATGTGCTGCTCACGCGTGATCTTCTGGTTGCGGAACAGAAGATGCCCTTCTCGAGGAAGGTGCGGTGGATCTGGTCGAACTCCGAATTGCTGAGGGGTTGGGCAAGATCGACGCCCTGCACCTCGGCACCCAACGCATGAGAAAGAGGCCTGACGGAAAGCGGCATGGAACGGTCCTCACCTCGGGTGAA